ACCACGCACCGAACTGAAGTCGTATATAACTCGGACAAGCGCAAGTAATTCAACAGCGATGAGATGTGTTGGCGGCTGTGTAACTATTAGAGGCGAGGGGTTGAGATTCGAAGCGTTTGGAAATGGGAATATATTGCTGGTCGAAACTTTGCAGAGCTTGGTATTCGAGGCGCAGCAGCAGCGGTAGCAATAGCAGCAGTGGTGCTTGTGGTTGTGGTTTTGTCTCGAGGTCGATGGATCGATGGCGGTACTGGAATGCCGAGTGATGTGAACTAGGGCCACCCGGGCATCTGGGCGTCTGGGGAAGGCTCAATCTCAGCCAGCCTCGTGGACGCGGACACTGACAGGATGGCAACCCGAAGAAATGTTGGCGCCGATGACGAGTGTCTGGCAATAGAGCCGGCTCGCAAGTGTCGATGGAAAGGAAAAAGGAGCAGGAACAAGTGTGGTTTCCATGCTCTGAAAGACAGGAACAATGCCCATGCGTTTTCAGACGCCAACCGAACTCTGCATGTGCACCATGGCATTCTCGACGGCATGGGAGCGAACGACCGGGATCCTGGACGGCCCTGGGGATGGCTTGTACCACCGGCGGTAGCTGAGAGCCTGAGACCATGACCAGGTGGACCGGGTGGAGGAGCAAGAGGGTGGTGGCGATGGAGGAGGGGGTGACGGCAAGGACGGCGTGGTGGTGTGTGGTGGTGTGCGAAGAAGAAAAAGAAGACGTGCATGAGATGGAGAACGGGCACAACGCGGGCTCGCAAGCGTCCCGAGCTCAAAGCTTGGCCCCTCAGTGCTAGCAGCAGCCGGGTCCCAACAACCAGGTCCCAGCAGGGCATCAACTGCCAGCCGGCCGGCCGTCGAGTCTGGTTTGGTGAAGCCGGGCTCGTTGTGTCAATTTTCTTTGGCACGGCTCTTATTACTGGCGGCGGCTGCTGCTCCTGCTGCTGCATAGCCAGGCCCGGCATCAAAGTGCTGTGACCACTTGTGCACATGCAGCAACAAGAGAACAGCCATACACAGCGCAGCCATACAGCCGGCAGCCAGCGACCAGCGACCAGCGACCAGCGACCAGCCGATGGACGTCAACGGTCAACGGCCAAACAGGCATTGGCCAAGCGCCCGGGGCAGCTGAAATGCTCAATCTGATCGGTCAACTGTGATCCGACTGGGTCTGGACTTTGACGTCCAGGAGCACGCACATTGCAAGGTCACGACAACCACCTTCAACGTCTGGCCATGATTGATATAGAGAACTCCGTTTGTACATGTACACCATCTATTGTGTGCTCCGTACGGTTGACTGAATCCCTACCTCCTCCGGCACGTGTCTCTGTGCCTTTTTTCCGCCCCGAGGAGAAAAACAAGAGAGAGAGAGCGAGGGCGTCTCTAGATAGCGCCTTTTTCTGTCTCGCCAGTACCGAGTACTACATCAACAGCATACGAACCCATCTTGTAAGCTGGCATGCTACTTTAGCCTCGTGGAAATATAGAACTACTACCTTGCGGCACCAGCTAACCCATACGCTTTCTGTTATAGTTTGAATGAACCAGACGGCCTGTCGATTTCGAGCTTCGGTTGATGGGCAGATCAACCAACGCCCTGTACACTCTTTCTTGATTGCAGAGTACTGACTGTACCACGATGAATTAATTATCTATCTACAGTACGGAATACACTTGAGCACAGAGGATAGTCCAGGCCCGGGTTCTAGGTCCCAGGTCCCAGGTTCCATGCCCCAGCTCGCCCACACAGCCCGACTTTGAAGGCTGGCTGCTGCATTTGCGCGCTAGGCCGCGCCCGATTTTTTTTATTTGTGATCAGGGCGAGTTCCGGCTTTGCCCCAGGCATGGTCCAGACAGGTCGACAAAGCTGTTACCAGGTGGCTGCATGGAGCGCTATTCCCAGTCTCCCAGCAAGTAGCCTCGTGTCGTCCGCAATTGATCCAAATCGTGACACAGGGGCCGACATGAACCACACCTCAACAGTCCAACAAGGGGAAAGGACCCTGCGAATACGGCTACATGCAGACGCTGGCGGGTGACATTTGAACCTCTCCAAGATCATGGCCATATGGAGTAGATGCCGCCAGGTCGAGATTCCATACAGGCCTACGTCCAGAGGCGGTGTGTATATCCTCACGACCATCAAGGAGTTTTTGGTATCAGCAGGTGCAGCCAAGAGTGGCCAAGCAGCCATCAGAGAAAGCACATTCTTCCTAATATTCCAATCTTGGGCGTGGCTGAAGTTAGCGCACGGAAAGCATCCGTCCGTCCACCACCCACCATTTCGACTCCTCCGCCCTGCTCGCCCTGTGGCCAGATGGAAATCAGTTCTGAAGGGTCCGCAGAAGCAACTAGCGGAGAACGGGCACCAGAGGCTAGAGCCACCGCCTTCATCACAGCAGCGTGGCCCATCTCTCGAAACCCGTAACTACGACAGGGCGTAACCACTTCCAGCCCAATGCAGTATAATAATACTTCGGACGTAGTACAGACATGCCAAGGTGAAAACAAGACTCTCTGGCTCCTGTTTGGTCTCAGACTTGAATCATGTTTTGCTTGCATTGCAATGCGGGTGATGCGGACAATGTCGTTTAAAGTTATAAACAAGACTCAGTGCCCCTCCGTCTTGCCCTCCCATGGCCCGGCGATGGATCTTCGCAACAGTTCCCATCTCTCCAAATACTATTCCCTTGAGCATGGACCTTCTGGGTCCGGAAGAGATGGATACTCCTATTTTGGCATTCCGGCGCTGTACATGGCGGGTCTCGGCGGCAGGGCAGATCTAGACTTCTCCCCAAGGCACGGAGCAAACGGGCCACGGGACATCATCTCTAGCAGATGTGGACATCAGGCCGTCGGCTCTTCTTGCACCTATTCAGTAGATCAGAAACAAGCAACGGGAGCAAAATCCACCGATTAACTGTACATGTGGCTCTTCTTTCGGTCTGATACTGCCAACCCACGCAAAAAAAAAAAAAGTTAAAAAAAAGTTGAAGTGAGCTGGGGAATTTCACCAACCAAAGTAAGTATCTAGCCAAGATCAGCCTAAAGGTCCGGACCGATTTGTACGACTCCTTGACGACATTATGGCCGCTTTCATCTAGTTGCTGCAGTTGGATGCACATGTCATTGATGTGAACTACTAGGTACCTAGGTAGGTAGTTGTACAATTCCGTGCTGGTGGCACACGATTCAACTTGACAGTAGCAATTTTTTCTCTGCTCTTATGCAGCATTGTGGAATGACTGCAACCAACTATCCGTACCGGGCCAGGCACAAACCCGCGAAGGGGACAAGCTGGCGAGTAGTAGTCTGACGACGTGCATGCAGTGTCAAGCATGGAAGAATGAGATGTCAAACAAACCATGGTCCAGAGAGGGATCTCGCGCCTTTTTTTTTTCTCTTCCGCTGGGGGCGTGGTGTTGTTGTTATTGGTCTTGCCCTACTTTGGATTGTGCCTGGCAGCAAGACTCACATATCAACTTCTCTAAAGCCACAAGCTAGTCTACAGCAAGTCAATTGGATGCAATTGGTGGACGGAGGACGCCCCGAAGTTAATCGGCCAGGCTGATACTTTATCTGGTGCTAATTGGTCCGGATTGATACTTGGGCTGGCCAACAAACAGTTGAACGCCTTAACCGGCACCCCGTAATGCTGTCAAAAAGCTACTCCGTAGACGAGGAGTCTCTCGCCTCTGGTCCTCCTCCACTTTCGCCCACACAACCCTCGATCTGCGGACGTCGGGATTTGCGTTTGAAACGATTGCCAAGCCTGTGGCCCTCTTTATCAGCCATGGCCTGCAGGGACAGGGGCCGGTCATCACATCTCCCACCAGGTCCCGACCCTTACGCCTCTGTGATCCATCAGTGTCTAGAACACGGCTCTGAGCGTTGATCAATAGGCACCCAGAGCGACACCCTGCGACCTGCAGCGCCGCAGCACGCGGCTTGACCTGACCTCAGTGTCAGACGAGTTGCAGCAGAAAGGGGAACGAATGCCCTGTCCGCAGGTCGATGAAAGTTTTTCTTGTTGCATTGCCCGTTGCGTGGTTGGGTCTGGCTGCGCCGCTGGGCACATTCGGGCAAAGTTGATGGCAGATGCGACGCACAGATGAAGACGATGCACCGTACCATACATACCGCTTGCTGCCAAACGATTCATCGCAGGAGACTAGGCAAGGGCTCCGACACGGGCCGGGCATAACTACTACTATGTACTTGACACTGCATATATATCCAGGGCATGCGTTGCATGCATGGCGGACACTCGCAGATGCAGTATTGGATGAGTCGAGTGTTTACACCAGACTCTACAGCATATTGTCGCCCAACTGCACACGGAGCTAACGCTTGGATATACTAGTACTACAGTTACATACTAAGGACATACATACATACAGAGTAGTGGTACTCCGTACGGAGTACGTAGTACTCGACATCTGGACATCTGGACATCTGGAGTCTTTAATTTGAAGCGCTCCGCTCTTTCAGGGCCTACAACACAGGTGTGACCAGTCATCTGGTCAGCCCGATGAGCCCCAAAGACTTTAATTACCCTTGCCTGTGGGTGACACGACAGGTCGTGGGCGTCCAGGGTACCCTACCAAGCCGATCTTCTCCAGTTCCAATCGGCACTTTTCCCAATCTTGCCTCAACAAAAAAGTCTTCTTGTTTCTGATGAAGCAACGTTGAAGCTTCGACTCCAGCTCGTGCGAAGAACCCCATGTATGCATGCTGAACATAAACGAGGCTTGCTAAATCTACTCCTCTCTGCCACATTGCATCAAAACACAACATGCGCAACGACTAGAGAAGGGGGCCATAGTCGTCGTACTTGACGTGATGAATAGGATTTTCAAGCTGTTATAATCTTCTCGCCAAAGTCGCTCTACCCTCATAGTATTGCAGGCATTTATCTACTAGTCTAGCTGCACGCTGAACTGTTTCACTGTATACCACAGGATTGATCATACATATATCCATCATCAAACACCCTACTTGGAGCTTTCCTTCATCTTGCCACATAGGGAGCACGCCCACCATTGTCGTTCCATAGCCGTCCCACAAAAGCTGCATATCCACACCCAAGGTGCTTCTGCGGCCAAGGAAGGTGAAGCCGTCGGGTCGCGTGTCTGCTCTTTTTTAGGTCCATCTTCCTGGTGCGTCCTCATTTTCGGCGGACTATCTCTTGTCAAGTCTATCGTGCTTGCAGCCGGCGTGGCAACCACCTTCTTTTTTGCAGGCCCATTTACGGGCTCTGGTGACCTCGTCCTCTTGCCTTGGGTCCGCTCCGACCCGCAGGCCTCACAGGAGAGATATTGTAGCGGGTTGTGCAACGTGCAAATTTCGCAGGCCCAAAAATCCGGGCCCTGACCGTTTCCGGAACCTGCTGTCCCTTGACCCCGGTCCTTCGGGTCTCGGATGGTTGAAGCTCCAGCGGCAGTGACAGAGCGCAAGGCCTGGCCCTGTGTGCCAACCGCCTCCCGAGTGAGCGGCCCGCCTGCGCCCGTCCCCTCAGGATGGTCGGGCGACGGGCGTATGTACGATTGACCATGTTTCGCTTTCTCCTCTTCCTGGACAAGTTCCCAGAGGGCCTGGGCGATGGCGACTTCATTCGCCTCGTCCTCCTCGGCCTGTGTTTTGAAGCCGTTCCTGGTGGCCGCGTCTGCGATCTCGATAATCTCTCTATCGTTGTACCGCCCGCTGCCACAGCCCTGCAGAACAGCGTTTCGCCTTTCAGCAGCGCTTGCGATGATTTGCCGAATGTCCTGGCCGGGTCGGGGCGCGGTTCCGCCCAGTCTTTGGCCGGATCCAAGGCCCTGTGATGCGCGGATGCGTCGCTTCTCGGCTGCCTCGCGGGCGAGACGACGTGCTTCCCGGTCCGGCATGCTCGCTCCCCCCAGCCGGCGTCCCTTGCCCAGGAATCCCTCGCCCGTGTATCCCTTCATCATCAAGCCCTGGCACTCGTCGCGCAGCTTGTCCCAGAGTGCGTGGAACTTTTGGTCGTGCGGTCCGTGGACAATATGCGCCAGCTCGTGCAGCATCGTGTCTAGCACATTCTCAAACGGGAGAAACTGGTTCTTGTCTCCCGGGTACCGTAATCGAAGGCATATCTTGGATCCTCTATTTACATTTAAACCTGTCCATACAATTTTCAGTCAGTTCCATGCCTGCTATAAATAGGGCTGTAATGTAGTATACCTAGCAAATTGGTTTGGTTGGGATAAAACTCTGCCAACTGGCCGACCTTCCATCCGCGAGCCCTCATGATTGGCTTCACTTGCGAAGCGACCTTTTTCAGAGTATGTAGAGCGTCACTGGCTCGCTGCTCCATTGCCAGGTGGACATAGGAGCCTACCAGGCTCTCGTGTTCTGGCATCTTTGTGAAGGACCGTCTATAGGCGCCGCACTAAATGTTTTGTGCACGTCTGGAGCGGCGGTGCAGGAGGAAAAGGTCGCGCATTTTGGAGGCAGGCGGACTCGGGCGAGCCAGATATTGATGCTCGGGACGCGTAAGGCACGATGCCTTGCTGGGGGCGACTGGTGAATTGGGCTGTGTGGTGTGAATGTGTGGTTGGTGGGTTGTGAACTTGTGAGTGGGTGGTGCGTAGCTCTGGAACTTTCGGCGCGAATGACTAATCGCGACTTACACGCAGGCTTCAACTAGCAGCCTTGGGGTTGTGAATTTGTTTGGGGCGGACGGCGGCGAATCAGTTGGCTATTATTGGCACTGTGATTTTGTGACTTTGAATGTATGGTCTTCCTTTGTTTTGATTCTTCTCAAATGGCTTTGGCTGTAGACTGGGCATGTTCAACTATACGCCATTTGTGTTTAAAAATTACCCCGTTACACACCTATATTTTCCCTTCTCTACTTCAAGGTGTGATTTGTATTAGAATCGTATGCATCTACGCATGTGCAGCAAACGGTGATTCCATGTTTCGGCTGCACAAACGGGCCTCACGCGTGAAAAGTGCAACTGGAGTATGTTGCCCACAGGAAGCATAACTCATACGTAGATGTGCAGAGTACATTTCCTTCATTACCTGGTTATATGCTGCGACATATATGCTGCGAGCTAATGTACGGAATTCTTCTACTGGCACAAAGTTGCTTATAATACAACAAAAGCGGTTGAAAAAACGGACTTCTGTACCGTTTTCATTGTCCTATCCCTATGAGAATGTTATTCAATTTGCCTCCATGAGTATTGCAATTATGTCCCCAAAAGCGTTCCATGGCTCGTTGCTATGCGCGCGGGATATACATTTGTTACCATGCTTTGCGCCGTGGGACAATGACGACGTTTGTAAAATGTAAACACCTCTAGATTGCCAAATCTAAGAATATCTAACCCTATTCATGCACATCGACAAAACCAGAGAGCCACTCCTGTCGAATTAGGCTATCAATCAACATCCAACAACTTGAACTTGTCATCGCCTAGAGCATCCTCCACACGCTCCATCAGAGCGAGAACCTTCTCTTCTTCTAATCTTCGTCCAATGACTTGAACGCCAACGGGGAGCCCATGCATTTCGTTAGCGTCATACAACTTGTAAGCACCACGGGCAATGCCATTCAGCTTCCGAATGTTGAAGCCAGCAGGCAGTTGATCCTTGGTCTTGTCTACATGTGTGACGGGGATAACGCCAGCACTGTAATCGAGCTGTTCAAGCCGTATTAGTGGGCATGTCCATTGTCCGTGGCAATATTTTACTTACCAAATTGAACATAAAAGTATAACCGCAACTACTGACAGCATCATGCATGCCGTCATGAGGAACGGCCGGAGTGGCATTGGGTGGTGCAATGATAAAGTCTAGGTTGGTGGCCTGCCAGTACTCCCACCACTTTCTCTTGTAAGCTTCTCTGCGCCCAATGAGTGCCCAGTATTCTGTAGTGGTAGTCCGGTGCCAGTCGCGAAGCAAACCAGCCCACAGTGTATCACGGCGAATGTATCGAACCCAGAGGTAGTAAAAGTACTTGATGGGGCTGGGAAGCTTTGCGTAGAATCGCATTTGAGCTACGCCTCGATCATTCCACTCGCCAGTCCTGAAGAATCCGCGGACGGTATCAAGACCATCGGCACATAAGAGACGAGAGGCCAGGTATAGGGCTTCATATGGCTCGGGCGGGTTGATCTCGATGATCTCGTGGCCAGCCCGACGTAGGGCGGCCTCAGTCATCTCCAAAGCCCGTTTGCAAGCCGGGCTAGGGTCAACAACACCGTCTGTTCGCAAAACACCAATTCGCATGGTCTTCTTCTCTTTATATTCTTTGACGACATCTGCTCTCCAAGGGATAGGATGGCAAGAGTAATCATAGTTGTAGGTGCCTTTCTCAAGGACAGCGCGAGTAAAGTAGAAGAGATCATTTAGTGTTCGGGCCATTGGACTGTATACAGCAGGAATACCGTCCTGTCCGGGCATGCTGGTGGTCATACCGAGCTTGGGCCATCGACCAGTTGAGCACTTGAGGGAGTAGATGCCAGAGAAATGCGCGGGGCATCGGACACTTCCAGCAACATCGCTTCCAATACCGATCCGGCCTCCCATGGCGAGGAGTGCGCCCTCACCACCCGTGGAACCACCTGGAGTGTACTTGCTGTTGTAAGGATTGGTAGAACGGCCCCATAGGTCGTTGGAAGACTCGAAGCTAAGGAGGGTGATGGGGATGTTGGTCTTGATGTATGGGACAGCTCCAAGCTCCTTCAACAACTTGACAGTAACACCATCTTCAGTCTTGGGTTTGTGAACATTACACGTCACACCGACGGAGCTATCATAGTCCTTTACATCAATGGTATCCTTCAGGCTGACAGGGATACCAGCAAGAGGGCCTTTGAAGTTGATGGATCCGTCCTTGATCCACTTCTCAGCATCCTCAATGAGAACTTCAGTGACACAATTGGTCTTCGCATGGGCTTTTAATGCAACCTTTCCATAGGTATGTAGGAGGTCGGCAGCTTTGCTTGGGTCCTTGTGTACTTCTTGGACAAGCTCCTCAATGGGCTTGTTGATGATCTCCCGGTCCAATGGACTGAAGGGAGCATGGTAAGCAGTCAGAGCGCGAATACGACGCACACGCTCATCCTGCTTGAACCGGCTATGAGAGAGATGAAGGCGTCAATGTGGGATCAACACCAGTTTGGGGAGAGATGGGGTGTGGTGACTCGTGAGTCGGTGACAGGGGAGGCGGGGAAGTAACGACCAGCGCTGACCAACTACCTACCAAGGTAGGTATTGTTGACAGTGATGAGGTTCATAAATGTGTGGATGGGGACAAGACGCAAGACAACACGCATAACGAGTACTTACCAGTCACGGCGGTGCTGCAAGTAATCTAGAAGCATGTTTTGAGAAGAAGTTGCGAGACTCAACAGGCTATTGGATGCTGTTCGATGCTGTTCGGTGTGATATTGAAAGAGGGAAGTCGATGGTCAAAAGGAAATGGTTGGATGTAACTGGTAGTGAACGGGCAAGTCACGAGGGTCTCCGGCATGGATTAACCAGCACGGAGAATGGAGGCGCCGTTGGGCCCGGAAGGGAAAGAGTTGTAGCACGGGCAAGGACACAGAAGGGCCAACTGAGGTTGGAGGCAGGTACGACGGTCCGGGGAGCAGTCATTAGCTATCACAGGGGCGGCGGCAGTGGAACCCGTTGATAACCGGCCAGTTCGCGACGAGGTGAGTGGTCAAAATGTGCCACCGAGTCGTCGTGTCTTGAGCCCCCGCGGGCAGCGATGTGGGGGGGCTGGGGTCTTCTCCAGCGGCAAACCTGGGGTGATGGGCAGTGGCAGGCGCACATGTACGGTGGGTGTACTCCGTCAATACTAGACTGAGTTGGCTGGTTTGGGTGTTGCAAGTCGGCCGGCTGCCCTCCGACGCCGAACATGAATGCTCCATGGCTCCTCCGATGGCGGCTCCGATGGGCCTAAATCCCCAGTCGGAAATTTAGCCATTATGTAAAAGCGCGGTACAAGCGGACGCCGCTCGCAGATTGTTGTCAACTGTCTCGCTTGTTGCGTTCCGCTTCAGTTTGTTCACATCCACCAGAATCATACATGTAGCAAGTGCTATTTATTGAAGGCATGCCATGAAAAAACCCCTTGGGAACCTTGTCATGAGGCAAAGCACCGAGTCGTCCGTCTACGTCATGCCATCACCGGGTTCAGCAGCATCATTGGAATTCTTTTGAGTTATTTCCACTGCCCCATTCGAATATCTTGATAGAGACTATATTATTGACTCTTCTTTCCTTATTACACATGCGGCCCTCGCTCCGACTCTCAAAGAGCTTCCCTCGCCCAGCCAATCACGGAGCTGCGGCCACGTTCCCCCCGCAATCCCTGCTGACGGCACTGGCGGACCGCAACAGCTTCGTCTCCACATCAACAAGCAGAGAAAGTCCAAAGATTTCGTCATGTGAACCCAACGACGCCTTGTCGTCCTCATATCAAAACACGCATACTCCATCATGTCTGCCGACGACCAGCAGTTTTTAGATGTCGTGGTAAGCTTGCCCAATCACATCATTATTAAATTAAATTCATTCTTTCCCGTGTCCTTCAGTGCTAACTGAAGCTGTCCCCGGCTGCCAACAGCTCGCGCACATCCCGCCACAGCTAAAGCAATACTCCAATGATGTTGCTGAATACATAGATCAAAACGTCGATCAAGCCGCCAGGATTGTCCGCGAGACGCTTTCACAAGCAAAATGGCTGCCTGAATACGCCAAGCCAAGCCCTCCGCTGAAACCGGCTGTCGCCGTCGTGTCCATGACGCGGTTCGAAAAGGTCCAAGGCTGGGTGTCACGGCACAAGATTCTGGCGGCTGTCATCGTCTTCACTTGTGGCACAATGATATTCAAAGGATACCAGACAAGCAGGTCGATGAGAAAAACTAGAAGAGCGAAACGGGCGAGAAATGGCGGGCGTACAGAGGTGGTTGTTATTGCAGGGTCCCCAACGCTGCCCCTGACCAAGTCTTTGTCTCTGGATATGGAAAGACGTGGCTTCATTGTCTACATTGTATGCAATGCCGCTGAGGACGAAAGTATGGTGCACGCCTTGTCCAGGCCAGACATTCGACCCCTTGGCCTCGATACAACTGATGTTAGTGCCATTGTCTCCCATGTCTGCCGTCATGACGTTTGATGCTGACTGATTCTGTTAGCCCCCTCAAGCAGGCGCTGCCATCGAACGCTTCGCGGCCTTTTTGCAATCTCCTCAGGCTCCTGGTCCTCACATCAAACCAAATAGCTTGACTCTCAAATCCGTAATTCTTATTCCCAGCCTACACTACCAAACATCACCCATCGCCACCATCCCACCTTCGAGTTTCGCCGATCTATTCAACACACATCTGCTTCAACCAATTCTCACAATCCAGGCATTCCTTCCACTGTTGGCATCGCGTCTGCAACCAATAGGCGAGAAATGGATTCCTCCCAAGGTCCTCGTTTTCACGCCCTCGATTATCTCCTCAATCAACCCACCATTCCACGCCCCCGAAGCGACTGTGTGCTCTGCCCTTTCAGCTTTTACCGAAGTTTTGACAGCCGAGCTTCGACCTCTCAATATCCCAGTGACACACATGCAGCTTGGCACTTTTGACTTTTCAAGCTTTGTGCCCTCGCGGGCAGCCATCTCTCGCCAAGGGCTGGTCTCTGCCGGGAGCCCCCAAGAACCTCTGGTTTGGCCAGATGGTGCACGACACGTCTACGGGCGCAATTTCGTCGCTCAAACTAGCTCCGCCATCTCTGGTGGACGAATCCGCGGCTTGAAAGGCAGCTCCCTGCGTCGACTGCACAACGCCGTCTTTGATGTCATGGACGGCTCCATCACGGGAGACACAGTTCGCATCGGCCTCGGCTCCAGCGTATATGGTTTCGTTGGACGGTGGGCCCCCCGCAGTCTCGTCTCCTGGATGATGGGCATTCGGAGAGTAGACGAGCTGTCGGCCTGGAAGACCAGTTCCTGCGACGGCTCAGAGCGCGAAGAAAGCGAGGACGGTGAGGCGGCGACGGCTTCCTCCAACGATTTCATTGCTGTTCCATCCGAGCGTAATGTATGGAGTGCTGACGCGACTGAAAGCAGTCTCTGGGTGCCTCCAGTGTCCAATTCTCCCCGATCGTGACGTAGAAATAGACTCGGAGACTGATATGACGTCCAATAACTTGTATTTAATGACCACTCCAATTTAAGCCGTAAAAGGAAATACAAAATACATCTACATTTATTCCAATTGGATTTGCAATCACACACATTGAACCGTTGTCAGAAAAATGATTCTATTGCTCTTCTTTTGAACCTGGGTATCAAGGTGTAAAGAAAACGCTATTTTACCAAAGTCCACATACATATCATCTACCTAGGTAGTTTTAGTAGGATCTACTAGATTTTGCGCCCATCGAGGAAATCAATGCCCTCTTCCTCTGAACCGGCCGCCCCTTCCACCTCTCCATTTCCCACCGCCTCTAAACCTGCCCCCGTGCCTACCATCGTCTCTGTCCCGATCCCGATCCCTATCCCGGTCCCTATCCCTATCGCCACGTCCCATCCCGTCTCTCGTCACCCTCTCGCTGCCATCGTCGTCGCCCCTCATCCCACTGTCCACATGGCCATCCTCCTCCTCCTCCTTCCCATCCGCCTTGACAGTCGGTTTGTCCAGATCCTTGCTCCACTTGGGATGCGCGGCTTTGCACTCCGGGCCCTCCGGGCAAAACCCGGCCAAGTAGAACACACACAGCTTCCTCCGAACATGTTTCTTGGAGCACAGCGGGCCCAGAGGGCAGAAGCCCATGTCGTAGTGCGGACAAGGCGGCAGCCTCGACGACGGGTCGACGTGCAGGTAGAGGCACTCCTCGCCGTTGGAGCAGTACCCGTTCCTCATGAAGAAGTTGCACTCGGGCATCTTGCGAAGGTTGTATTCGTGCAGGAACTCGCAGTGCTCACCCTTTTTGCAGAGCCCGCGTAGCCAGTGCTTGCACACGAGCGAATTGAGGCCACCTGTTGCCTGCGCCGTCTTGGCGTCCTGGACGTGCCGCTCTGTGCATCGCGTGCCGTTTGGACAGCTGCCGGATTGGTATGCTTTGCATATGGGCCGATCGAGCGGTAGGCCGACCTGGTATGTGGCGCGGAGGAAGGGCGAGAAGCGGAAGTTGTAGGTTTGGGAGGCGTGGTTCAGGATGGAGGAGGCTGCGGTTGCAGGTGCGGTTGCGGTCGCCATGGTGGCGTGTCGGAAGCGCTGGAAGCTTCGAAGGCGGTTTTTGCGGGGTGCAATAACGTGCTGGGGTTTGTGTGACTTGCACGAGCGCGATTTGCTCGGCGGATTGGTTTGATGTTCAAGTTTGAAGGATGGGATGCGCAATGTAAAGCTTCAAAGCTTTAGAAGTTGGTGGAGTGGCGCCGAGACGGACCTCGCTTTGTCATCTTCCACAACTCTACTCCGTAGAGCACCACTATCAACGCAGCGTCCAATGACGCCACAGGAGCGTGGTTGTCATCAACTGAGAAAAAACAGCCAGCCTTTGACGCTCACAGATTAAATTTTTGTGTGTATTCAATAGGGATTTATGTGTTTATTTCCTCGTGTCGGTCGCCGATCACTGGGTGCCCATTGCACCTTTGTCAAATATTAACGCCAACTTGGCCAGTTCCATAGAGAGCTGAGGAGCTATCAAACCAAAGGAGGCGGCCTAAGATACTTGGTACCAAACAAGATAAAATAAATAAAAAAGGCCATTCCAACGATGCCCCAGGAATAATAATAGTATTAATAATAATAATAAGGTTTATACAGCGTAAACCTCTCCTGCGTCGCCTCCTCTCAACGGAGGAGCCTGACTATCCCACCTTTCAATTCGTATGGTGAGGTGAATAATTAGACGCTTTCTGTCTCGGGCCTTATTGAAGAGGAGGCGATGCCGACTCAGAATTCTCTTTCTTCTGCCCATAACAAATGACGAACTTCATATAACGGTGTATCCTCCGGTCATTGAGGCTTCGTTTAACTTGCGTGACTAGAGCTCGGCGGTCTTCTGAAGGTATTCCAAGAGCTGCTAGTGGCTTGGCCGCGAGAGCGCCAAGCGAATCCAGTATTACCGCCCTCGTAAACATGCCAACTGTCTTCAGGTGTTTATCTCGTGGCCAAGCAGCAATGGGCACTTTCTTTGTGATAACATGGATATTTGTGAAGCCGGCGCCAACAAGTGTCTCTTCCAAGTTGAGCGCTCTCAGAGGCTCGCCACCAAAGGTTCGTAGACCCTGTGTTGAGGCGTCGAAAAATATTCGTACTGGGTCCTCTTCGCTCATGGTTCCATCGTCACATAATATTTGAGGAATGAACTCGTGAAACTCTACCCATCCACCATCTCGCACATGCCTGCCAAGCGATTAGCCATATATTCCTCGCCCAAGTGTCCGTCGAAACAAAACATACGGATAAGTTCTGTTCAACATTCTATCCAGATCTCGTAGAGTGCCTGCCATGCCGCGAAAATGCACCATGTCAAAGTTGGAGCCATGGAGCCAATCAGGCTCTTCGCAATCGTCCACATACATTCGCACGTTCACAGGTACCCATTTTGGTTGTATAGGGGATAGATCGGTTCCAACCACACTTGCACTTGGGTACTGGTCGGCCACTAGAAGAAGTTAGGGGCTGTATTGCCGAGCTACATCGTCCTGCACAAAGCAGGCTGTCGGTGTTGGTCCAGCTTACCGTCTATGGCCCATGTACCTGAGAAATATTTGTTAGCACTGTAATTGATCGAGTCAGTATACGCCCGCAACAAAAAAAAATGGCATACCAGTTCCTGTTCCAATATCAATAATTTTGTGCGGATACTTGCCAATGTCGGAGTAAAAGAGTCGTCCGCCCTGGGTGGCCATCAGTTCTCGAAATTCAATGGTTTGGCAGGAGTCAAGGAAGATGCCACGAATATTGACTCGGGTGCCGAAGAAAGCCAAAACACATACAGTAAGTTCTAGCATTAAAGCATGATTTGTTTCCTCTCTTCGCTGCTCCAAGTCATCGTTGGGCAACGGGTAGCGGCCCTTCCTGAAACCGTGGTACCGTCGGCCATATGCTACCTCATCCTCGTACGCACTTGGCGTCACTGAAGTCGAGCAACCACACGAAATTTCTGAGTTGACGCCATCGCCATCGCCAATGCCATCGCCATCAAGGGAAAACTGTTCGAAATCATCGTCGACATCGTCGTGTCCATACTCGCTAGGGGAGGTTGCGGTGTCGAGACCTGGCGACGTCGAGATTATCGAGTAGAGGCTATCGTCATCGGCGTCGCCGTTGTCGTAATCAGGGACGATTGGGAGAGACATTGGACAGCCTGGCGGGCGACAGATATCGCCATGGCATGGCCGCTGACGAAGACGATGAGAGAGCTTGCTGTAGAGAGGAACCTGGTTACGTCCTTAGTGCAGACGAGGAGTGGGACCTGGCTGGTTTCCTCCATACAGACTTGGTGTTTGAGTGCGCCGTACTCCGTAGTCTCTCCATACCAACTTCAGTACGGAGCGACTATGCTTGAATACCTACGGAGTACATAGGACTCAAGAACGAACATGCAGCACGAGAACCGACCGCGTTTGGCAGGGAGAGGAGGGAAGTCCACGGACACCATAAACAATCATCTCCAACAGTCCATCAGCACAAGGGAGGACGTTTGTCTTTGCTCAACTAGCCGGCATCAGCATCACATGACTCTGCTCGTGGTGCTTGTAATTCCTCTCGGGGTGCGCTCCATGGCCAATATGTCCAACAAAAGATCTAAAGAGCGTTAGAAAGTTGTATCGCGCGACGGGACTCGTCCCTCGATAGCCTAACTTCAGCAAAGGTGAAATCATCCTGCAGCGGCTCGCTCAAGACAGCGAGCGACCTGCCTGGCCTGGCCCCAGTTTTAAGGTATCAACACCCAGGTGCCGTCCAGGGGCACACGATTCTACCGAGGACATCTGGACCGTGCAGGCCAGGTTCATCCATAATGTTCTTGTCCGGCGTCTTCACCCGTGGCACTAACCTAGGTTCCCGTACCTCTCTCTACTCCATATAAGCCGCCTACTATGTATCTACTAGTAGGTAGTTCTGGTATATGCTTTGCCTATGAAATTAGAAAGCCAGACACCCAAAAACGCCGAGATATCTCGCCCCGCAAGTTAATACTCCCGAAACGCTGAACTTGTGGTTACATGTTGCGTCTTGGTCTCCAAGCCGTCTCCAAGATCAACATGTTGCATGCTGATCCCTTCACTAGTACTTCAAATGAACTCCCGAATTAGACCTACACAGCATGCGACGCTGCTATACCCTCTCTCTCTTTCCGATCCACGAGTGGCTTCCAGGTGAATTTCTTTGAAGTCATTGCAGGTCAAACGAACAGGTCAAGCGAGCAATGACTACAGTCACCTGAAATCGGCCGTACTATTACATGAGAGTCTGGGTGGCGGCTATTATCAATGCTCCGAGCTCTTATGCTCAGACGCACGCACGCGTACATGCATATATGCACAAATCTCTAAGCAGCCCCTGGTGTCAAGTGGTAAGCCAATCAGTGTCAGATGAGAGCACTGACACCGCCTCGTATGTACTACCATCACTCGCAAAGCCTTATATACCGTCCGAAGACGGTGGAAATGGAATGGTATAGGCTTCGGCTTGGCCAAACCTATGGTTGGTTGACCACCTATATAGTCTGACGGTCTTCGGTCGTCTAATCAACGGGTTCGGTACCTCGTAGTTCATCGAATTCATTGATCAAGTTCGGTCGGGTGAAACGACTGCAATTGGTGTTGCAGCGCAGGAAAAGGCCTCCCTTAGCTATCCTCTGGTTTGAATTTCGTGTCTCTATCTGTGATGCTTCAAAAGAGGTTGTTTGAAGATTCAAGTAAAAGAAAGAGAAGCACACGCCAGGATAGTAGGGCCGCTTTTCGATTCATTCTGTGGTCGACTGATCTAGTGCCAATTAGCTCTTGCTTGACCTATTTGCCGGCCAGTGCAGACGCATGTATGATGTCGTCATGGACGTTGTAAGTTTGGAAGTGAAGCTGGAGTCTACGCCGTGCGTGATGCAGTCTGGTTTCAAGCCAAAGACAAGTCGTTATCTTGTCGCTCTGCTATGGGTCTCGTGATTCACGTATGACTCGGATCTACAGCAGATTTTGACGCCGTAATACCAACCGAGTCATTTCAAGGCTTCCTTACCTCGAGACAGCCCGGTGGCGGCTTGTCTAGAAATGGCTGTTGATATGGCGTTTGCTGGAGAGTCCAAGCAGCACACAAATTCACGGAATCAAAAAGAGCCAACCCGAAAGAGAGGGGGAGGGGAGGGGGAGAGAGCAGCATCCCATTTTACATGACGGCTGGGAAACGGCTGGGACAGAACATCGGGTTGGGATGACAAAAGTGAAAGGGGCCAGATGCCCGGAATCAGATGGCTGCCTGACAATCCGAGTTAAAAGCGATTGGTACGAGCAGAAAAGGAAGGAGCTGTGCATCGATTCCAAATGGGGAATGAGCCCGGAAGGGACTGGGAAGGATTGAGATGGGCTGGGAAGAAACAGGAATTGCGTTCGGGCTGCTTTACACAAATACATATTACATACCATGGTAGCTGGAAGCCTCTCAAGGTATCCGTCTTGATTGTACCTAACTCATTATTCATGGCTGATCCCGATCCACATCATGAGATAACATTGTACAATTCCCCATGGCTCCTTCGCGAACAGCACGTCGTCGAGACACATCGATACCGAAACCCTTGCCTTGGTCCAATGACTCTCGCCTGCTGCTGCAGCACATTTGTTTAAAATATGAGCAATATGCAAGTGCTCCAACACTTGCAATCAACCCTCCTTGACCGAAACGGAACTCAAGCTAATTGGATGCGATGACAGCCTAAGCGGAGCCGCAGGTCGAACATCACACACCACCAACCCATTCAGGTCTATCCACGTCAATCTGTCTATATAAACAACACACAGTCTTGTCTTCCGTCATATCCTATCACATCTGACGCTCTGGCCCGCCCCGCTGCTGCTAGTCTCCAGCGTGGGGAGTTTATTTATGCCTTCGTCTCCACGGTCACACAGGCATACATACAGGCCAAAGCTAGAGCAGACAACAAAGCGAGCCAAATTAATCAGTCTTTTTTCCGGTGTCATAGCTCAGACAGATTAACCGACGTACGAGGGGTCTTATACCAGCAGCATCACGTCGAGGTTTCGACTGGCACGATGTCTTACTCAGTCTTATCCTCACATATCGCCGACCAAACCGAGTAGTCCTGCTTTTCGAATGCTTTTCCGAGTCCTCCGTGGCATACGAGAGTGTTGAGAGATCCCAGGTTCTCATGGGCTTATGGAGGCTCCCGAGTTCATACTTGCCTAAAACCCACAAAAGATCAACTTGTTCCCACCAAGGCAATTGGGATCTGTCAGAGACTCCATACCCCTTCCCACCGTCTCGTGGAGCGCCGACCGCACTCCGTAGGGCGGCGCCATGCCCGCAATCTTCCGGTACATCATCTGCGTATTTGGCGCATCAGCAAACACGGCCTCATTGGTCACTTCCAGCGCCTTGGTTTCACCACAAGAAGTTCCAGCGACGGCAGCGCGCGCCTGTGGCCCTGAATGCGATACTGCAAGATACTGCTCTGTCCCTCAGGGTCCCTTTTCATATCAATTGGAAAGCGGCGGCATTTGGGCCTCCAGCCAGCTAGGTGATGCTCAGCCGGCAGGACAAACTGCGCAAGCCGGAGGCGTCTTAACGTCTCAGCCAAATGCATTCTTCGATCAAGAGTCCAAAATGGTAATGTTTAGTGGCAGAGTCCGAGACATGAGCCCCAAGTTGGCAGTCACAGGTTGTGAAAAAGGGCGGTCGACAGCTCGAAACAAGGATCTTTTGTCATAAAACTTCCATGCAGGTGCGTCCTGTTGTCCTTGCCTACCACCCACCCTCCATGAACTTCGACCGTCTAGCTATCTAGTTGTTCGCCAAAGTCTTACTCAACCTACAAGTGCGCCAACCCTGGGCCAAGCTTGGTTTCTAAAGTCCCATGTCATCGTCAAACTGGGTGTGGACTCATCAAACAAATCGACTGCATCTGATATCACATTCTGTCTCCGGCATCCTAGGTTCATCTTGCCGGCCACTAATTCTCCTTGTACTCCCCGCAATTATGTCATGCATTGTGTCTCTCTATTTTTCAGGGTTTTGCAGGCCCTCCTCGGCAAATTTCGCCTTGGGTCATCGCAGTTCAAAACGCCCACCGCGCTCCATTCTCCACATGCGCTATGAGTTGTCTGGCACGCCTGGTTCAGCCCGTCATCCCATGATTCTTTCACCGTCTGCTGCTCCGTAAATCAGGGCTAGTATAAATACTTGTAGCTGGACCATCCAGCCAAGTCTAAACATGGCTCTAGCAGAGAGAGAGGGCATCGGCCCGGGCACCTTTGATGCCTGACTCGCTTGATCTGTGCTTCGAATTCATCATCGTCCCCGTGGCTTGCACATATCTTGGCTTCAGCCCCGGGCATCAGCATGTCGTATACATCCGGTTTCACTTCTTTTTCTTAGACAAGCCGGGTCATGGTTGTCTCCTTGATACCCTGTATATCACATCAGCTCTTCACATATGTGCCGTTTGGTAGAGGGCTGAAGACTTCTTCTTTTCTTTGCCTTTCCCATCGTCATGAGCTCCCATTCTCGTCCGCGTAAATCGCGGATTGCCACCAGCGTTGCGAGAGTGATGTATACTAATGCAGTATATTTTTCCAACAACCGGGTATACCAAGGGGACACTCCTGCCATGCTGAACTACAGTTGCGTCAACCGTGTCTACTATGCATACGCAAGCGTAGGTTCAGATGGCGGTGTGTTTGTAAGTCCTCCTCCCCCCTAAGAAGGAGTCTTTATCGCATCTAGAACCGTTTCCACTGACTCGTGTGGGCCGTGGCTCAGTTAAGCGATGAGTGGGCGGATGCCAGAGCTCCGATAGATGGGGTACAAGGTGCTTTAGGATCTTTGATGCACCTCAAACAACGACATCCTCACCTTCAAGTTGTATTGTCAATTGGGGGAGGAGCCTGCTCGAATCTTTTTCCTATGGTTGCTGGGAATGCTCATCTACGAGAAAATTTGGCCCGATCCGCCTTGGGGCTGGTGGAAGCATCTGGGCTGGATGGCATTGACAGTAAGCTACGACACGAGAAAATATTCTTGCTTATCAAGGCTTTCAGTGCTAATTAGCGGCCCCGTGCCTCCCACGGCTCGTAGTTGCATGGGAGTATCCTTGCAGTGTCGAACAAGGCAATGACTTCTTGGCTTTGTTGGCGACTATTCGATTACACTTGCCTGAGGATCGCTATATTCTGACTGCCGCTCTGCCCGCAACCAAAACTGTGCTACAATTCATTGATTTCAGTATGGCTGCCGACTATCTGGATGCCGTCAACCTCATGGCGTACGACTTCTTCGGTATGTGGACACCGAAAAGCGGCCATCATTCCCAATTGTATGCAATGTCTCGGGACGAACCTTCTGGTTCATCAGGCGTCGCCCATTTGATGTCTCATGGATTCCCTTCGGGTGGTATTCTGCTTGGTATTCCTACATATGGCCGCAGCTTCCAGCATGCCACAGGACCAGGCCAAAAGTTCAAGGGGGGTGGCGGTAATGATGGCACATTCGAATATAACCAGCTTCCCCGGAAAGGATGTAAGGAGTCGGTGGATAAACGACACATTTCGGCCCAGTGCGTGGGAGGTGATGGGGGTTTCGTGACATACGATAATCCCGATACGGTGAAGGCGAAGGCAGCATTTGCAAAGCAAAAAGGACTAGGTGTGAGTACTCTGCAGCGAGAGTCATGTCACGAATCAGAAAAAGTCAACCGTTGTTGTGCTAATAAGAGATGTTCACAGGGTCTTTTTTATTGGAATGGAACGGCCGACTCTAAAGAAACATCCAGAAGCCTGGTTGCAGCAGGCTTTCGTGCGTTACACACATCCTAAGAAAAACGAGACACCTCAAAAGCCATGCACCCAACACGACATTAAAAGGTGAGCAGCACGTTGTTGAAATTGCATTACGGTTATGGGGCTGGAGATATAAATCATCGAGAACCGTGTCGCGTAGGATTTTCCATTTATCTCGCAGGCAAGACCTTAGCATCAGAGGCGTTATTTAAATCCCCAGCATTTACATTAGTAGATTTTATTTTTCTGTTTTGTTCAACCCCCTTTTTTGGCAGCACGATATTAGCAAGGCGAACCAGAGAAGATGACTGAATACAAAGCAAATCGGAAAGCAACTACCAAGTTAGCCATTCTTGGCAGTGGGTTGTCAAGGATTCGGCACTGACGTAGCCGTCGAGCCATAATCAACATTCCCGAAGGAAGGTGTATCGGCGATTGTTACTGTAACTTCCAAGGTGGAGTTGCGAGTTTCTTGGCAACCGGGTAGAATTTTGATAAGCATGGAGTTGTGCATTCATAAATGAACTGGGTTTCTGTCTGACGGGCAAAAAAGTTTATCAAGTGAACGACAGTGCCATACTCAAACAAACCTTAGATCCGCTCACAGGCTGCTGCTGCCAACCTTTACAGACGTATAGAGCACTTTTCGAAACCTCGCCCCTATGGCAGGAATTAGATTCGGGACAGTGGTTGACTTCTCAAGTCCAACTCATCGCAGTCGAAAAGCAACGATTGGCAATGAGTCAATGACAACAGCTCGAGGAAATGCCAAGAAAATGCTGGGGGCTGGTGGACAGGGTTCTGACTTTGGGTTCCAACATGTCTGCCAGACGCAACATGAACGACGCCACGCCATTATGCATGTGCTTGTGAAGGACTCCCTTGAGATAATGACGAACACATCACCACTGCACAAGGGTAGGGATGCAGTAGACAAACCTTGAGAAGCTTCACGTCGATTTGCCATGACAGTGCCCCACGGACCAGTTGCCGTCTTCATCGCATGTGGCACTAGTACCCGTTGACAACTGAGTGGGCTAGCCACTCGTCGCTGACAACAACCAACTTTCCACTCTAGCGCGCCCCTTGATGGAGGGGCTATGAATGATGCCCAGGCACGTGCCGATAGCAGAGATAGGCTGGAGATAAGCCTTACTGCTGCACAAGTGACATGTCAGCACATCATCTGCGCATCCAGCCTCAGCTGCTAGGCAGCGTACCCTCGCTACTTCCGTCCAAAACCTCGTCATCATCACAGCAATGTCAGAAAAAGACCCCGAGCCATCGCCTCCCGTGCCAGACACAGCAGTCAGCCCGTCCACTGGCCTCCCAGATCCGGAAACAAGGTCAACCCAACACTCTGCCGAACCCGCGCCTCCTCCTCCTCCTGTTCCTCCGCCCGCCTTCGAGCCTCTCTTCACACTGGTGACCAATGCGTCGACAGGAGCCACAATGCACCCGCGCGTGCAGTACCTCTTCTCCGATGACGACGCCTCCATCCTCTCCCACCCCAACGACGACCCAAACCACCGCGCGATGCTGGTCGATCTCGCGCCCACCGAAGCAAGCACCTGGTCCGTCCAGTGGGCATCCAGCCTCAGCCCAGACTTTGCCATCACCGCTTCCCAGCTCTCTGTGCAGCGCAGCGACGACGCCAGCGAGGGCGACACCTCAATGATGCTCCGACTAGAAGGGGTGGAACGCGAGCCCCTGGACGCCGGCGGCGGCAGTCGGCCAAACAGCCTGCCCAGCTCGGGCAGCGGCGCCATTGGCCGCGAAAACGTCGATGCGCTAGCCGACGAGTTCAAGCGGCGCATGGGCGTGTTGAAAAAGGTCGTCGCCGAGGGCGAGAAGAGAAGAGACATACTGGAAAGGCAGGCGAGCAGTCTGCCCAGGCCGAAGACGGGAGATGAATATGGATCGCCTCGCGGGGGGGAATCTGCCATGCGGGGAGCACCGTTTGAAGATGAATTCCCCGGCTAAATAGATTGACCTTGGGTGATTCCACGGATGTTTGTCAACAAGTTTTAGCAAGCGCTTGCAATTTGGTTGGTGTCATGGTGGAATGGGCGGTATTGAATATTTTAATTGGCTATTCGGATTTAGAGAATGGGCATTTTCAAGGCGTTTAGGCAAGGTTCGTGTTGGCCAGGCGAACACAACAAATACTTACCGTGATTTCTCCCACTGCATTGACTTGTCATTGGGCAACATGGCCGGGTAACCTCATGATTACAAATGTATGTATTCATAACTACGCCTGATTGAAGAGAAACGAAAAAGATCCCGCCTGAGAGGCACAATGAAACCCAATTTCCCTCTCCCAAGATGAAAACCACAAGGGAGTTACGGTGCAAACCACACAAGACAAACAAACTTCCGATCCAACCTAGGCCTGCTATTACTAGCCGTACATGAAGGGAGCTGAAAGCACAAACAGCAGACAAAGATTGTCGCATCTGAATTTGCTCAAAACCACTTTTGGCACATTTCCTATTCCTAGATGCCTCTTTTCTTGCTTTTGTTCCTTTCTCGCGCCCCCACTATGAAGTCCCAATTTTCCGAATCAGTGGACGATACAGGGTAGAAATGCAAAGGCACGAACCGCGGTATATAAGTGAACACGCGGCATACGTCGATGGTGATGTGGACACAATCTTTGTTAAAAAAAATTAAAGAAAAAAAAAACGAGGTGGAAAAACATTCGTCCCGCTGAGGTGTCTTATGCAAATAAAAAATAAAGTAAGCGATCAGTTCTTGTGTCTTAATCCGGTGCAGATATTGTCACCAACCCATATCAAATATGCTCCTGAAGAAGCCAGCTCTGAATCGTCTTTTCTCATTTTGATTTTTTATGACAAGGAAGCAAGCCAAAGAGACAACCAGCTCATCTTTCAATGTTTTAGTTGTTTGGGAGCTCAGAAAAGTGGATTCGTTCCCTGACGCGAGCCATTGTCCACGATCGCGCGGGGAACAAATCGTCGAGTGTGCGGCACAGCGATGGACCGTAAGCTCGACACAGCTGTGGTAGTGAGGTCTTCGAGCTCCCGTTTGCTGTTCTTGTTGCCACCTGAAGTGCCTCGGATGACAAAGATGTAGATAAGAACGATAATGACAATGATGATGATAATGGCCACTGTGAAATTGTTAGTTTACTCTGCAAGAACCCTTGTAAATGTGAGCATTTCTTACCGCATATACCTAGGCACCACCACTTCTTCTTCCTCGTCGCCCTCGCCGTTTTCACAGCAGTGTTTATCTCCCCAACACCCTTATCAAGGTTGTCGTTCACTACTTCAGTCTGCTCCTCAATCTTCATGACAACTTCGTCCTGTTGCTCAACCATACTGTACATATCTTGGTACATCTCTGCAATCTGCTCCAAGGTACGCTCGATGTTCTCCAGCTCTTGGTGCCGGTTTCTCATGTTATTAAGAGCATTCTGGGCGTGTTCAGTTCGATTGCTCTGCATCATAGCCTGGGCGAATACCTGTCTGTCAGCGCCTTCCGCAATGGCTGCCTCGATTGCCTCCTCAGAGGCGTCTTGTCCAGCAAGGTTATATTCTCTGGCAACCTTTGCTAGATATTGCTTCCTGTGGGCTTGTTTCATCGCGCTGAACGTATTCAAAGCCTTGGTTACGCTGTTTCTTGTAGTGTCGACAATGGGTGGGAAGGTGCCGTCTTGCTGGGTTCGGGCTCTGAGCTGTTGGACGCGACGTCTGAGATCGTCAAACTGCCCAGTGATTTCAGAGGTGAGAAAATCAAGACGGTCTTTAGTGTTGCGAGCATCAGCGACATTAACTTCGTTCAAATATCGATTCTGTAATCGTCCCAGGTCGTCGAACTTGGCAGTGGCTTTCTTTAGCTCATCTTCGATAGCTCGGATCTCCTGCAAGTCTTCGTTACTCAGCTTGCCACCACCTCGGCCAGCGGTTTGTGGAAGAGAAGCCATCTCAAAGTTGGAGCCTGTAATTTTATTCGTTGCATGAGTGCGTGTTCTTTAGTAGGCCCACCACAGACTGCAGCATGGCTTCTTACCTTGGTAGTTGCTATTTTGGCCGCGGTCGGGTCGATATGACTGATTTTGGACGAATTCCCGCGGTTGTTGTCCCTGGTAATAGTCGGAGGTATTTCCCAACTGCTGGTAGTTGTTCTGTCGCCCACCATATCTGTTCCGTTCCAGGCGTTAGTCCGGTATCAAGTCTCGCGGAAGCGTTATAGGGCAGTCGGGGATAATCAATCGTTGTCAAGGAGAGTGAAAGGCTGTCGAACGTTCAAAGAAAACAAGTCATTACTAACCCGTTCTGTCGTTCCATTGTTAGTCAAGGTTCCGGCCTACGGATTTGGAGCGAAAGGTTCAGAGAGTGTGTAGAGGGTAAGTAGAAGGAACACGAAGTAGGACGTGACGAGAAGTAAAGGACTTGTGCCACCAGTCCCGGACTCGGCGACTACAGTCAGATCCAATAAAACTGCAGTGGTCCCGAATATGGAAGGCAGAACGACTGTTGGGAATGTATACTACTGTATGGGAGGAGTGAAGATTGGGAATCGATGTTGAGACGCCGACCGAAAGCAAGAAAAGGGAGAACATAGGTGAAACACTAACATTCATGGCGGATTAGGAGAGCACCTTGCTCGTCATAAACGAGTTGTAGACGGGATTGAAATGGGGCGAGGTGGTCAGAGGAACGGGGCTCTGGATCGAGAGTCCCAAAGAGAAATCAACTGATACTGAGCGTCCTGGGCCAATTCCTTGGTTCGGCTCGCGAGGCGACGAGACAATGGATAGAAAAGAACAATGTGCAGACTCGGAGACACTGGTAGTTGGGATGAAGGAACAAGCACAAGTCAGCAGCAGAACAAGGGCTGAGATTACTAGAGCCGTGACTTTGAGGTGGTGTTGATGTTTGTAACAACTGAAGATGATGGAAGAAGCCGCCAGCCAGTCAGCCAGCAGGTGGACAAGTTTAGAACAAAAGGGGGGTAGGGGGTGACCACAGGGGGGCACAAGGGGGGCACAGGGGCATCTGGGGCTCTTGGCTGACGCTACTCCGTAGAGAGAGAATTGGTGGAGAGGTGGGCGGGTCTTGAACGACATGACTCCGTAGCTAATATCCAGTGGTTGAATAGGCAGGTGCCATCGTGTTCTTGCTCAATGTTGCGTGAGGACAATTAACAGGCCCGCCATGCGACGTTGGGAGTAGTACTGGTGAAGCCTGGGTAGTTCTGAGGACCAGATTTCTTAGAACCGTTAAACTGGTCCTTGTTTGAGGCACCGGGCATATCGCTGTCAGAACCCACCACCAAACAACCGTCGCACGGCTTCGAATGCTCCTACACTTCCCTTACTCAGTTTGCTCCTGTTCTGATTCTGCCGTTGCTGAATTCCTCTTGTGCCTGTCAAGTGTGATATTTACCTCACGCATCAACTTGGCCACTCTGCCATGCCCGTGCACCACCAGCACCGACACAGACAATCACACGAATTATCTGCGACAGAGGGGACAAGATTCGATACTGCCATCATACGGAGTATGTGTCCTACAATCATAGTCAGACCAGAGCGCATTTCGAGACATGGCGCGAACGTTCCGACAACGCGGCTGTTGAGTTGTGGATTCTCTGAGGATCATGCAACGATTGGGTCAAACAAGACCGACGAGACACAGCCACGGATATTGAGTCGTCCAGCCATGCTATTTTCACATTGGTGTGAAGGACAAAGAAACTCGGCCCACCAATGATACCAATGACAGTGCCGCCACCACCTTTTGTCTTTTCGGAATGGGCGCCTCAGCGTGCTCCATGTGCTTATCATAACCCTGGTCTGTCTTTTCGTCAATCACAAAGGTTGACTGATCATCAACATGCGCTCATCAATCAGCCGCGTTTCATGTGTAGCATGACGGTTGAGATGGGCTATGTTCGGCTGGCTACTCCGTACACTGCATTTTTACCTCTTTGTGCCATTGAGACTCAGGCTACCAGTCAATCTTACGAGTGGAGAGGCTGTTCATACCAAAGATGTCGGAAGTATTCCCGTCTTTCTTCATGGTTTGCGCATAATGTCGATCAGAAAGGAGACGCGATTCAATATGGTCTTGATTGCTAATGGACTGATTCGTACATCCTGGAACAAGTCGTCTGGTCGTTTTCGCTCTCTCTACGGAGTATGTAAACGCATTGCGGCTGACCACAGTTCTCATAGCCACCGGCCGCTAGGGATCAGACGGGCTATGATGCAGCCTCGAAGCATAGTGACTAGAGCGAGCCTTGTTGGCACTAACGGCATATACAAAAATAGACGACCCGGGCCACCAAATTCAACGCTGAGGGCTAGCTTCAGCTCGTCCGTGGTGAGAAATTTCGTGGCGTTCTTTGCTTCCACACGAGTGCAAATACAGAGGAATGATAGCCGCCGTTTGGTACAAGACTTGCTTATCAGGCCTAAATCATTAATATGCAACGGGCCCATGAAAACGTGCTCAGTTGCAAAACGCCTCACAATCCTGATACCTTCCCCATCAGCAGCTCAATACAAATACATTCTCGTCTATGCATCAAGATTCACTGGCACGAAAGAGCACATATACCACACATAATACCATGCAGTGAACTACCTGCTATATACCTAAACAGAAGACCCTTGTAATACAGCCTCCAGCTTTGTGTAGTCTTGACCCAAATACACAAATGATTGCAACAGAAGCAGCCGCGTCTTACAAAACAGCATAGGCCGACACATAGCTCACACTGAAATCACTGGGCTTCTCAACCAAATTGCTCCGCTGATATTGAGTGATGCGAAACCGGCATTTCCTTGCATCAGCAACCTCTCCAGAGAGGAGCTCCAGTGCCGCCATGGCCACGCCGATGGGGTGTCTTCCACATACTGTATTCTTAGTCAACTTGAGGTTATCCACAAACACGTCGTGGTGTCCGCTCTCAACAGCATCCATGGCCGCCTTGTCCAGAAGTCTAATAGTTTCGTGAATCGGCGGTCCGGCTGGTGCTTTGTCTCCCCTGCGGAGGTTGATCAACTGCGCTGGATCATTGTCCGGCGAGTAAACCATGTATTGAAAGTGAGCTCCCCAGTGGCAGAAGTCGGAGCTGATTATAAAGGCGTTTTCCTCATCCTTCAGATATGGTACTAACACCTGCCCGATGGTCTTTTCTTCATCACGATTATTGTCCCCAATGAGTATGGGCACAATGGTGGGGAAGTTTTCTGGTGATCCGAAGGTCTGCTCGCATCGTTTATATAGATAGGGCAGGTGCATTTCCAGAGAGTGTTCAGCTGAGTCTCGCGATGGCGGAATATCGTCCATTTGAGCTGCTTCTTTAACACGTTGGATAATGTCACGATCCACGACGAGGTTACCAAATGGCGTGGCATATTTGCTATATGTGGTGACGGCACAGCCGTCAAGATAGTATGTGTGGGACGGGCCAAGCACAAATACACGTTTAGCCTTGGAGAGATCTAGGCATTTGTATGCCCACGCTGCGCAGGGACCTGAGAAGGTATATCCTGCATGACTGTGTGAGATGATTAGCGGGGTTATCTCTTCGCATGAATGTAGAAATCGGCCAGATACATACGGCGCAATGATTATTCTCGCTCCCGGTATCGGAAGTGTTGAATCATCGACGGTTTCTGGAACATCGGATAGGTATTCGTCGAGCTCACTCCCGAGATCGTCGGGAGACGCCACGTACCAGGAGCCTGCTTTCCCAGCGGTGCGAAGGCTCATCTTGAGATTCGGTGTGGAAATAGAAGGGGTTATCTAGAAAATGAATCCCTCAATGCGTTTTTTGACAAGTCAGATGAACGAAATTGTGGTCTTTCGAGTAACAACGTTTTTTCTTTTTCTTTTTAAAGCAATGGCAAGATGGCAAACTTTCAGATGATGGTGCAGGAAGTGAGATGTCACTGCCCCGCCACGAGCGGCTGCGGGGTATCGCATGTCATGCCCAGGAGGACAAGGTGTAAGTCAACAGCAGAAACAATATCAACTTCGATACCGTATTCTATTTTAAAACACCGGTCAGTTTGTTCCTCCCAATTTCTGCATCGTGCATTGTTTCTCTAGAAGTATTTACGGCGGCATCGTTGTTACAGGGACAGACACGCATGAGGGATGGCAAAATCATGTCCCAACAAGTGCCGCGACTACCAGTGGGCTTCCAAGAGCGAGAACAGCATATGTTCAGGAAATGGCCTATGTTGTCTCGGGTATCCTTGCTACCGCACAACTGTTGAAATTATCTAGCTGTTGTTCTATGTATGCTGCGAACAATACCGACCAACCCAACGAGCCTGAAGTTCAGTCTCGCAAATGTACGCTGAGAAGGATACGTGAGCACAGCAAGGAATATACAAGGCCAGGAGACAAACACAGGTTATATCAAAATACACCACAGGAGTTCTGGAATGTATTTAATCATAAAGCCCATCTCACTACGACCCAAACCTCCCATTTGGTGCGGATAACTCCCGGCTGTAGGGTAGGTGAGGTCTCTCAACTGGGACCCATGCACTTCCGCCCCACATGCTACCAAGTCGTGCCAATACCTGCCAATCAAAAGAGCCAATGGCTAGCTCTGCGGAAAAAAAGAAATTCCCGTGCTGGATATCGAAAACCGAAAAGTTTCTCTTGAGGACAAACATGTAATCGCACACTCATAGCAGCAAATCACCACCGTATTTCTGCAACGCAAAATGTCATTCAGAGGCGGCCGTGGTGGCGGTCGAGGAGGCGGTGGCTTCCGAGGTGAGTAGCAATTTTTTCCACCTTTCCTCCATCCCCCCCCTTGCCAATTTTTGCATCGAAGATGCAAGGAAAAATTGTGTGCTGGGCAGAAACCACTGACGGGACATTATCTCAGGCGGACGAGGCGGCAGCTTTGCGCCCGCCGGCCCCCCTGCCGAAGTGCAGGAAATGGGAACCGTCGAACACGCTGTCGAAGGCGAAATGTTTTGCCGCTCATCAAACGTCAAGATCCCCTACTTCAACGCCCCCATCTACCTCGAGAACAAGACGCCCATTGGCAAGGTCGACGAGGTCCTCGGACCCATCAACGAAGTATACTTTACGATTAAGCCCCAGGAGGGGATTGTAGCCACGAGCTTCAAGAGCGGCGACAAGGTCTTCATTGGAGGAGACAAGCTGCTGCCTATGGACAAGTTCTTGCCCAAGCCCAAGGTCGCCGGCGAGAAGAAGCCCAAGCGAGCGGGTGGTGCTCGTGGTGGCCGTGGAGGACCCCGCGGCGGCGGTCGCGGCGGAAGAGGAGGCTCTGGCTTCGGCGGTGGTCGGGGAGGTGGTCGCGGCGGAGGCGGTTTCTCAAGAGGAGGCGGCCGTGGTGGTGGCCGAGGAGGTGGCGGCTTCAGTGGCGGCTTCAGTGGTGGCCGCGGCGGTGGCCGTGGAGGAGGAGGTGGTTTCCGGGGACGTGGACGCGGCTTCTAACGGATGAATTCACGGGACAAGAGATGAGGGAGTAAAAAAAGACTACTTGATTTGTGTTTCTTGCCATGTCTGGTCTTTCGGCAGGGGCTTTCGCATGGGACACGTCATTGGCGTTTTATGGACAGATTCTTTTGGGCCAGTGCGGTCAGTTGGGGGCATAGTTGTGAGCTATTCTGTATCCAAAACTACGCATCTACCCGTACGGCTAGAGTTGGTTCTTTACTTTTGGGACAATGGAATTCAACGAGCATTATACACACGGTCTGCTTTGTTGTGGGCGCGGCTATCACATTTGGAATGTCTTGGTTGACATTGGCTGCAGTGATTATCAAGGACGCAGATGAATGTTTTGCTGCGCTGTACTGCCATACTGATATGTAACCGGGATGGCTTAAAAGGCTGAATAGATCAAGCTAGTCTCCTCGGCCTATGGACAAAGTCCTTGAGAGCCCTTATACATCTAAGGTGCTGTTTGGTACGATTGCCGGTTACACTCTCATCCGTTCAACACGAGATCAAATTGATAGTGACGGCTTTAGAAATCACACTCGAAACTAACTAGTAGAGAGAGGCATCACTGAGCCGAGGATTGCAAGGGGATGTCTCGCTTCCCCCCTCCTGTAAGTCACGTCCTTTCTATTGCTAACCTTGCTCTTTGGTCGTCCTATCACTGAAGCTGGCCACTGACTGAGCAGTGTGTGCCGGCCCAAGCGTAATATTATATAACAGCGACGCAAGGAGTTGTACCGTTCCCAAACATGTTATACTAACAGCTTAGCTAAGTTGTTGGTGATGCATGAAGTTGGGGTTCCCTGGCCGGATGACGCCAAGTGACATGTACATATCGAGCATACATGCGAATTTCTGTATCCAGGACAAGTAAATAGGCTGTTTAGTGATGTGTATTGGGAATCAGAAACTCAACGAGACCCTTACACTCACATAGCCGCATGAAGGTCTATATCTCAACAGCAGCTCACTCTGCTCAGTAATGGCCAGAACCCACAGCCGCCTTGCCCATAAGCTTACTCGAGGCCATTGAATCCGGCCAGCTGATTCAGCATTGAGTAAATCGTGGTTCAATTTTGCTTAAAGTCCCTGTTTCTGCCTGTATTGTCTATCATGAGGATCCATCTCCAAATATGATGGATACCGATTCGCGAAAACTAAGCACTGGCACGACCAATATTTCCAATTCCGCCTTTTACTTTCGATGACCACCTATCATCAGCCTCTTTTTTCTTCAGTCATTGGGTCTGATCCAACTGCTGCCCAAGACAGGATTGTCCTCTAGGACCCCAAGCAACTACATAATAACCTACTTCTTCTATCAGCCCCTGCCAAGGGATGAAGAAAGGAAAAGGATCTGCGTAGGGCAAAAAAATAGTCCACTCCATCGGAGCGGAACTGGATGTCCTCAGCGAGACTCGAACTCGCGACCTTTGGATGGCCCAGATTATTCATCTGATCATAGACAAGAGTGTATGAGACCAACGCGCTAAACCAACTGCGCCATGAAGACATGATTTGTTGACGTCCGGGAGGCTTATTAATAATTATTCGGCTTCCACCCACCACCAGGAAATTGTGGATGGGAGCAATTTTGGACGCTTGGGTCACATTGATGCACGTAACATTACAAGAACCAAGAATCGGAAGCTAACGCCCTTAAACGTGCTCTGTTACCCAAGGCTAGGGCTGCGAACTGGCAGCACACAAAAGTCTAAACTTGATGGTGCGGCGATCTTGAATCATGTTTCCCACGACATGTCTGATCTATGCGGGGTCGGTACCTGGCCGACGCGATATATCCCCTGCATTCACATGCGTTGTCAGTACTCCGGTATGTAGTTATTGATACAAGTTGCGCAGTTGACAGTATGCAGTCATCTCGGACGGGATTGACATCAACGGCACCCACGCCAATTTCAGCCTGCCCTTCAATGTTTTCCCTTGTCAAGCTAACGCCGCGTTCTAGTACAACGCTGGTATTTGGCTTACAGAACACGGCCAGAATGCGAGTGATCTACACATGCCAAGTACTGCATGCACATGTGTGTAGTACTTATATCCCTTCAAAATGTCACCCCCTGCACAGGGCGAGCTGCTTAGCGTGATGCTGGGCAATTTATCTACGGAGTACGGAGTAATTTCAGGCCCATTCCGCCAATGTCGCCTGGCCGGCTGACATGACAGGGCTGACCTGTGGCTGCTTAATTACGCAATGTCAGCAGCGCTCGGCTTGAACAACACTTCCGATTGCCAATTTTCGGTTACCATGTACTCTTACTTAGAACCGCTCGGCAAAGATGGCCTGATTGGACGGCTGGTCATGTCTTGCAGGCCAGCCAAACACGCAACACGGGAACGCAACCACATCGTCCCGAAAACATCATCAGCGCCTGACATGCAAATGGAGTACTACTCCGTAGGCCGCTTCACTTTCCCCGAATCCTACTGCGTGCATACCTATGTACATACGCTCAGCACTCCTTTCGCTCGAACCCCAGGTTCTTCGGCTGCAAGTTGTGTGACGGCCAACCGGCGACCTTGTGTGATGGCGGGAAGCCAGCACCAATTGAGACTTGCAAGCCAAATTTGACATTTTTCGCCGTGGCGTCGATGCAGGCTAGCCCTGGTGTCACTTAAACCAGCACAGGGCAGACGGCAGATCTCGAGCGTCGCACGCCGCCCGTAAAAGAAAAAATTCCACCCCGATACTTGTTGACTCGTCATAGCCGCCCAAGCAATCAACAGGCTGGCTCGAATGTACGGGGTATCCCAACATGACCGCATAAGCTGTATAGATATGCTGCGTTTCGTGATGCCACTAAAGCCCAGTGGCCAATGCTTGGCAAGCCAGCTTATCGCGTGGCACTTGCAGCAGGCAAACTTCTTCCAAGCCCCGTCCGGTGCCTTCGCGTCATGGCGTTCAGGGCTTGCAGAGCCTTGTGAGTGGGCCCAATCCATTCAGCGAGGGAACATTGAAACCAAACAAACCCTGTCAAGCCCCCCGGTTTCCGGACTCTGATGATCGGTGGCTTGGAGTTTCGGCAACAAAAGACTGCGGCTCCGAGGGAATGGGAGCAGCATCGACCGCTCTCAAAACGTTGAAACCATGCCAGCGTGCTCTGCCGCTTCTACGGGGTGCGGATGGCCCGTGTTTGATCTCGTGAGCAATCAACTTCGGATGGTGCGACACGATGCAAGGTGATGCGAGTTGGCGAGTCGGCAGCTCCACGTCAAAGAACATTCCACATTTGGAAGGAGCAAACTGCTAGTAGTTTCTTGTTGCCGCATGAACATGCGCTATTTGATGACTCTCGCGGAGTCTCGCCACATCACTCTATTTCCCGAACTCGGACCACACATTCCATCCCAGCTCTCCTGCACTTCCGCCTCGTCACACCTCACCTTTCTTTCTGCCGTGTCTTGCCAAACCTCATCATGTTGCACAACGGCATATCTGTACGCGAACCGTATTGTACAAATAGTGTTGCTCTATATTCCTGGGTGTCATTAGATTTAAAACCTGATAGGAAAAAAAAAACCATCGCTTATATTTAGTTTTAGTACTATAATCCTTTTGGATATATGAATAGCAATTTCTTCAAAACGGACGCTTTGAGCCGTGCATTAGTTTGTAGTTCTTTAATATTAATGCCCGTCACCGCCATGTATTGAGTCGCTGCTGCGGCGTGTCGATGATGCCTTGGACGAAGCATCACCGCTGGGACAGCAACCTTGCCCTCTGCAGTCGTCAATACAATCCAGAAGGCATGCATTCTCGCCAGTTCCGTCTAAACCGCCGTCCATTCGTAGAGCCGCGGCATCACCTGCGTGTCGGTGTTGTTGATCTAGGCAGAATTCAGGCTGTATGGTAGCACTATGGATGCCGTAGCCATGGAGACACTTCCTGGCTCTCTTGGCGAGCTGCATGTATTTCTCGCCGCTGTGTTCGTTGATAGGGAAAGCAACTTGCAAGTGCATGCTGGCCACAACCTTTGTGTCTGACAATTGCCATACGTGAATGTGGTGGCAGCTGACAACGCCGGGAAGTCCTTCGATGTCTTGGCGAATATCCTGGATGCAGATATTCTCAGGGGTAGCCTGGAGAAGGACTCTTGCGGTGGCGCGAGTCAAAGGAATCGAAGTCTTGAGGATAATGGCAGTAATGAGGAGTGACACGGCGGGATCGCAGTACAGTTTGCCGGGCCAGTCGGTGAGCCAGATGACGAGGGCCGTGATAATTACGCCAACATTACCCAGTGCATCACCAAGAACGTGTAGCATCATGGCATTCATACCCATGTCAGCATGGTTGTGACCACTGGCCTTGGCTCCGGCCTTTCTCGGCAGCGTGTGGTTGTGGCCGTCATGGACACTTGAGTCTCGGCGGGGTCGCTTGTGGGATACAGAGTGTGAATGTGAGTGAGAATGGTTGATGGTTCCGTTATTACCCTTTCCATCGCCTACGAGCAGTGGTGATTCTTCGTTGACATCGGTTTCCAAGTCGCCGATCGGAGCGTCTTCACTTGTGTCACTATCGGCAACAATACCAGCCCCAGAAGAAGCGGCAAGGCTGGCGGCGATAATATCTTGGCGGAAGCTGGCAGGATGGATACTCATGTCTTCGATGCTGTGAAAGCGAGAGTGTCCAGACTTACTAGAGCGACGTCTACCACGTCCTCTTGCCTGGGGGGTTGCGCGACTTTGGCTGGTTGAATCATCTCGGGCGGCAGTGTCATCTCCGAATCGGATACGGCGAGCAGTCTCGGGACTTTCAACGGCTCGCTGCGCAATGACTTCTGGGAGCACGTCACCTACTACGCCGTCTTCGTCGGCGACGGCGCTACGAAGGTCATCCGAGGGCCTGTTCTCCTCCACGTGGCTATGTTCGTGGTCATGGTGACCATGGTCATGGTCGTGGTCGTGGCCATCCTCTTCGTCGCCGTGGGAGTGACCGTGACCACCAAGCACAACAAAACCGAGCAAGTTGGAGACCAGGCCAGCACATCCAACAATGAGAATAAGCTTGGGTTGGTTAATCTCGGGGGGTTCAACGAATCGAGTCAGAGCTTCGAGGATGATGGAGACGCAGAGTGCGATGAGGAAGACGGCGTTGAAGAAGGCACCTAGGATTTCAGCGCGAACCCACTGGAAGGTCGCGTAATTAGCACAAAATACTCACAACTTTGATTTGCAAGTGTAAAGCTAAGACATATATACGTACTCCGAAGGTGAATTCGTCGGTCGTTGCTTTCTGGGCCGCAACAACAGCCCACAATCCGATGGCAAGGGAGATGATGTCGTTGAGCTGTGGCGCTTGTCAGCAAGGAAGGATGAGGATGGCACCGGGTTCGGCCGCATACCATGTGGAAAGCATCAGCAGTTAATGCCAGCGAATGAGCAAGGAAGCCACAAATCAGTTCGAGCAAGAAAAAGGCCGTGTCAATAGCAATCATGACCTTGATGCGGGTGCTCTTGGACCAGGCCATCTTGGAGGCCATCGTGGCGGGCGAGGTGAAGGACGTCAACGGAGAGCGCAATGGCGAGGCAGCGAGTGCGCAATTCGTCCGTTAGACCGGTTTGTCGATGCCAACAGCGCAGACAGTAGGTAACCCAGAGACTTGGGCCGGGTGGTCTTGCAGTTCCCCAGCTCGGCTTGATAATTGTTGGAGAGAGGAGTCGACGTAGAGATGGACAATTGCGAAGGGAAACCCGGGACTAATAAGACAGCGGCCGAGCCGGGATGGAATGCTGGCGTGGCGACCAAACACCACCAGACATCAATGTCTGACCTGCCGTAGCACCTGCAGCCTACATGCACTAATACTACCGGACTGCTAGTGCTAGTACTACCAGCTCCGTAGTATTGACTCGACCAGACCAGACTACGTTCCGAGCATGGACCCGCCCGCCTGCCAGTGCCGCCTCCCAAGCCTGGTCCGTTCAATGTTGGGAGTCTCCTCGAGCCGCCGCCATGACCCGACCAGCGGCCACACAGACTTGGATGCTTAGTGTATTAATAGCTTGTGAAGGGAGCATGACCCAGCACAGGGCTATCCTAGCGCCTTGCCTATCTGGATCCTGACGAGCCCCTGGCGTCCTTTTCCGGACTGGCTTTCGTAGCCGTATCCTTGAGCCATGTTTATTTACTTATTTATTATTCATTGATATTCGCTAGTCAGCTAGTTAGTAACTTGGAGCCATGATTCATAAGTCATACCAGCAATGGCTGGTCGCTGCTCGACTTGCCCAGAGCCGTGAAACCAAATCATTAAAGCCAAGGACAACTTACGTCACGGGCCGTCTGCTCAGCAATTTATATTTTCTCATGCCGCAAGAGTCTTTGACATAAAGTCAGCCTCACGACCACAGCCAAAGGAGGGCGGTCTTGATATCTAATCATGCTTCACGTGGGCTACTGCTCTAAACGGCCAGGTCTATGTTCAACTCGCGTCACCAATTTCTATTGTTTGGCGCCTCAGTCATCCGCACGGCCTTTGCGTAAATCCAGCAGTATGTCGTATTACACACCACTAGTAGCAACAACACAGCAAGGTGCGTTTTTGTTTGAAAGTACATGTAACTTTTCCATTTCCCTAGCCTCGGTGGGCGTTGGTCACTATATATGGACAAGTATGTTAGTTTTCCAGTTCAAAACGCCTGTTTCGGGCCGTTTGACAAAGGGAGTCCGTCAGATGTCTTCTTTACACCCCGAGCACGAACATCTCTCTGCCATTCTACGTATCATGAAACTACCAAGACCTCCATGAGGTTTCCCACAGCCTCACGCCAGTTACTGTATCACGATTTCTTCCTTCCCAGACCTAAGATGACTCCTCAGCCTTCTTAGCCTTGTTTCCTCGGAGCTTGGGCTCAGGCTCGGGCTTGACGGGGCGCTGAGCTCGGCGGATGGCGGAAACACGCTCAACGGCGGCAGAGCGGAGATCGCTGCGGTAGCCAGACTTGGCAGTCAGGTTGGCAACGGCCTTGTAAGTCCTGTTTTGATACTCAGTAAGTTCCCACGGTTCTAGAAAGAGCGCTCCGACGCATTCCGTCAGTTGATTGGGTTGAAAACTCACTTTCGGCTGGACTTGTTGGCGCCGTGGGTGGTCTTGATGAAGGCCTTGGCGGGCTTGGTGGCATCAGTGGTCTTCTTGCTGATGACAGTAACGCCGCCCTTCTCGTTGGGGATGATACCAACAGCCTACCAACGCCCGATATTAGTATTCGCCCCAACTCAAGGACCTCTTACTGCATGTCATATGCCGTAATTTGAATTGCGAGTGGAATGTACCTTGTCGTTGACGAAACCAGCGTGCTACTCCCAAACATGTTAGCTGTCAGACTTCAAAACGAAGCACCCTCCTCGTCTCAGCATCCGCCATCAGATGTATACCTTTCGGCTGTTCTTGTTGGTAAGGTTCAAGGGGTCGTGGGAAAACTGGACGCCGCCATTGCGGTTGCTCTTGGACAGGAAGCAGTTGTTGTTGCCTAGAAAACCCAAAATGTTAACCACGTCTGATGCTTCCACGGCTTTCAAGTGAAATGTATTGGCAAGACTCACGAGCAATCTCCCAGACCAGGTCCGAGGACATGTTGGAAAGCGGAAGGGTAGCCATTATGACGGTTCGGTGGTTTGCGACGACGTAACAGGGTATCTCACAACTCTCAGTCTCTGCTTGCCTCGAAATTGGTGAGGTATTCTTAATGTGTGGGCTCGCTTAACTGCCGCAGTACGGTTTAGTGTGTTGAATGTGTCCCGCTTTTGTATGTGGCGGAGTTGTGGCTGGTAGCACATAGCACAGCCTTGGCCATGATGTGAGAGCTTTCAGGTGGAGATGAGCTGAAGCCGGATTTGTATGAAGCACTGAGAGGTGCAAACGAAGAAGAAACTGAGCCAGCCAGCCGGATTTTCGTCAGGTGCCCAGTCCGAGTCCGCCCACTTGGGCAAAACTCCGACGACCATCCGCCACGGTAAACGTCGACACATACGTGTGCCTCTTCCGAATAGACTGCCAGTGCGTCCTCGCCTTGAGAAACATCACAAGGCGGCGTATATGCGCCTGTCATGGCAAGATCACCACATCCCTACCACGCTTAAGAAGAGCCGTGCAGTCAAGACAACGCCTTTGCCCCCATCAGGTCGTTTTGCTTGCTCCGAGTCGTCCGCAACGCCGCAGCCAGCAGCATCGTCGTTTCGACATCACTCGCAATATCCCTAAAATTAGAAATTGTCGGCGCATTAGTTGCCGGTGCCCGCACCATGCTATACATTCTTTTCAGTGTCTCTATCCTCTCCCTTGTGGTAGCCACTGCGCTTTTCCTTACACGATCGCATTGGCGGCATTTGGTCCCCGAAATCCGTCTGCCTGGCGCAGACTACATCTACTCCCGGCTGCCTGGCACCTTTGCAGGCGATATTGAAGCCGGCCTTTCAAGCAGTAACTTTGATCTCACTGGCAACCTAGAATCAGGAGATGGTCGTGCCGGGCTTGACGATGCAAGCAAGGCCGAAATTCTGAAACTGATGAAGAAGAGGAGGATGACGTTTGACCAAGCTCGAAAGGCCTACATAGAGAACCGGTTCAAAGCAAACGGCATTGGTCCCGACGGACGACCTAGAGATCCCAAGTTTGTCAGCTTTTCCTGATCATCCGTGGTCGGCTCCAACAAGTCAATCGAAGTCGACTTCTTCTCAGTGCTCGTCTACGTGATGAGAAATTCCAGGCCAATCGAGGCTAAATATTTTTTTAATAAAGGCTGTCCATGTGCCGCTCTGAGCTTCTCTCGCCCCTTCGCTCTCCTTGCCCCTCGTCTTGTCTCTCTGCACGGCTGTTTCCGCTCTTTTTGACTTCTCCTTTTCCTGGCTTCCTAGTCATACATGTATTCCTCCACTTCAGTCTCAGAAAGCCTCATGCTTTGTTTCTTGTCTTTCCAATCAATTCTATCTTTGTACAGAACGATTTCCTTAGTTATTCGAGTATTTGGGACGGGTACGCAGGGAGTTAAGGTATGCATATTAGGATTATTATGAGGGCATTTGCCGCTGAGTTTGTTCATCTTGAGCTATAGGAATATACATTGTCATTCAAAGAAAATCCAGAAACCTTGTTTCAAACGCCGCCGCAAGCCTCCGCATTAACACCATGGTTGGTCGATATCTATGCTTGTGAATACAAAATATGTACAGTTCGAACTGTTCCCCTTGTGTCTTTCTCTGTCATTTTCATTCCTTTGTTGTACCACCCTCGTGGCTAGATTTGCAGCAGTACGGAGAGACTGTATGTGGAGATCAACAGCGGAATAAGAGAGGTAGCCGCGGAATGCATGAACCAAAAGTCATGACCTTTGGTCTTCATTTGGTCTTCTTGGCTTCCTCTTCGGCGGGGCCGTATGTACGCTCGTCGTCGCCCTCAATTTCCTTGACAAATTCATCTACAGTCTTGGACTCTTTCTTCCACTGCTTCTCTGACATCTTCCTCTCCTTTTCAAACATCCAAGCTTCGGGCATGCGGTAGGTACCACCAAGACGGTCAAAGGCAGTAAAGAACTGTCCATAGTTGACCTCGAAGCGAGAGTGATGTAGAGAGTGGCAGGCGGCACCGTTAACGATAGGGTTGTTGGTGAGATATTCGCCATCGTGAATGAGAATAGACCAAAAGTTGACGAAGACAAAAAGGAAAACATAAGCGACTTTCTGGAGGGGGAAAATGAATGGAAAGATGTGGTATGGGAGCGATTGGGCAAATCCGTCCAGAGGGTGGAAAGCATGACTAGCATACGGCGTAGGCATAATCCACTTGTGGTGAGGCTTGTGCAGATGCTTGTAAATTAACGGATGGTGAAGATACCGATGGATCCAATAAATGCAAAAGTCGGTAAAGAGCAAGAATAGGGGAAACTGTAGGATGTTGTACCACATTCCAGGCCCCTCCTCCGTCGTGTCATAAAGATTGCCGAAGCCTCGGACCTCGAGCAAGAATAGGGGTGCAGTGCAGACAGCCATAAACGGCATCGACTTGTTGGCCTGTTTGATCTCGAGCCAAATTTGATTTTTTATAAATTTCGGATGGTTCAGAGTACGCTTGTCGAAGATCAAATAGTAAGATAGGGTGGCAAATACGAAGTACACCAGAATGCCGAAAAACCTGCGACACGGAACATCACGTTAGCTTGTGGACAAGAGCGCATAATTCAAGAGCATGCTTGCAGGAAGAAGGCCCAGAGAATGAGATGCAAGTCGTACCATGTAATAAAGAAGAGTGTAGCTAGTTGACGATAGGGGTTATCGCGAGTCAAGGAGCTCATGTATGCAGCCCGAGACGGCTGAACTTGCAAGAACTGGGTGGCAGGCTTATAAGTCCATGACGAGAATGTATGGGTAGAAGAATTCGCAGTATTCGCATGGGGAAAGTCGTAGAGGTCCGGCCGAAATGGATACAAATACGCGTAGGCGTAGTCGGCAATAAAGGTATCCGTGAGTTCCAACACGATGTCCATGGCAGCGACGGATTGAAGTTGTTTGGATCTTAGGGTGGGTTGATTTGATGTAGGGGTTTGCAAAGAGGATATCTGGTCTCCGTGCAGTGGTATCTTCAAGCCGAGCTGTTAGTGTTGACAGCACGAGGACGTTAGTCGTGGTCACACAGAATGCACATGAACGAAGTATGCATGTGTGGTGTGTGTGGTGTTGACCTTGAATCGACAGTGCACCGCCAACGGGGGCGACACCTGGAACTTTTATTGCAGAAGTACAAATGCTGCCAGCCCTTCAGGTGGGCCAATTCCCCGACCAGTTGGCCCAAAGAAAAAAGCGCTTCCTCGGAGTTTAGACACCGATGCGAAAAAACGGGGCCTGGCACAGTGCCGACGAGACGTTGCTGTCAGGGGACGGTCCAGTCAATACCTTTCTTTACATAACTACCTAGGTAGGTACTTAACGTAGGTACTCCGTACTTAGATGTAGGTACTTAGTTGAATTATTTTAGTATCCAATGAGCCGGCTCGCTGTCGCTCTAGGTCTAATCGCCTTTTAATAAAACAATATGTATGGCTGCCTCAAAGGCATCCCACCAGATATCAAACCATGGCATTAGACGCAATCGCCATATCGATACGGTGAAAAAGAAGTGAAATCATGCCAGAGGTCTGCAAGAACCGTACCGATCACTTGTAGGGTTCACAATAGACCGTGGGCCCCTGGCTCTGCCATCATCACTTGCAGCAGTTCTGGTCAATTGCTGGAGTACATAGTTAAGTACAGTATGTAGTCAAACAACCCGCATAGTGCGTAAGTTACTTGGCGTGCTCGATTGGTCGCCCTGGGTTGATGGGCCCTGAAGCGCTTCGGGCAGGCAGAGTTCCGGCTTGAGAGAGTGGCATGATGAGGACATCGGAGCGCTCCAGGTCCGATACGTAAAGTACAAGTACCTAATACTAGCATGTAGGTAGGTCACGCTAGTAGTTAGATTTACATCAATGATGCAATTTCATGGACACTGTTAGCTGAATGCACCAAATCACAGCGTTATGCTGAGGCTCACCAAGTAGTATCATCATTATTAAACGTAAGCTTAATCTACTGCATCTACAATCAGACATTGTTATATGCCTAGTACTTGAGCATACACGGGTGAGGTGTAGTAGTCTCCATGCATGGTCACTGGCACCAGACTCTATGAGCATTGTGCGCTCCTCTTCCCCGGGTAACGCGAACATTGAAAGTACTTAAGTAGGTAGGGTTAGTGGCGTGTAGTTATCGTGCCATGCGATGGGCCCCGCTTTCGGCAGGGACTTCCCTGAGAAGGGGTCGCAATGAGGCCTGGTGATGATAACGTTGGTGCTGATTGATAAACAATTTGATGCCTAGTCTGCCAGGCAGCTAGGCGAGGGAGCCGCTAGACTGCTCGTTTTGAACGTTGCCAGCTATCAATCGGTGTCTACCGCCCAGCCTTTACAGCACTGTCCCCTATCTTATCTGCAAATACGCCCCTTTTACCCATTACATTGTACATACATAGCGCCTGCAAACTTTGGGTGATTATGTCGGAGATTGCCATTGTCGCCGAGCAGCTCGTTTCTGTTACATCCCTTGACGACACCTGGATCAGGGTAACACTTGAACGGGTGGGGAACAGACACACTTGCCAGACATGACGTTTCATGTAATGCTGTTTAGCCGTACAAATCATCACTCGCACCGAGCTTTTCGTGGCCGGTCTTGGCTCTGTCAATATCCGATGCCTCGGTGTGCTCATACAGGAAACATTGGTCGATTACCCATGCCGCCCCTGGGAAACAACCCGGAATCTTGAAACCCGGTCTTGTAGACATCGCGGTCAGGGGATCTACCAAACGAAGCACCTGGGCCACGTCAGTTCGATAGGGTAAGTTGTCCACGTGCAACCTGAAGACTGAAACAACCAGAACACACCAACGCCGCAATACCGCCTTTCCAGGGGTTCGTCTTTACTCCACGACTTGCGACGTGAATGCACGGCCGCGGTGGGACATCCGTACAACTCTATGTAGATGCAGGCCGTAAGATGAGAGCCACAAGTCAAATGTCGCAGCAGATTACATGATCTGCATCATGCCGAAGAACTCCATGGCCTGAACAAACCAGTTGTCTACCAAGATGGGGAGTGACATAATCCTAGTGTTTGACAACGTCTGCAGCGTTAGACACTTCATCCGATGCCATGCACGCTTACTCCATACATACAACCGTCGTATCGCACCCGGTTCGGCAGAGAGATGCCAGAAACTGGCGCCTTGGCAAGCCGGAGCAGCCATAGAATAAAGCACCGTGCACGCATCCTCATCCTCACACCGACAGCTCATGCAGTCTGGTAGGTGCAGCTGCTACGGTAGGGAAGCGTTCCTGTGCTGCCCAGCTCGGTGAGACGAGACAGGACGGCGGGACCGACGGGATGATCAGCTTTTCAGACAGATTCACGGGTCCGGGGTGTGTGAGTTGGGAGTCCGTGGCCGCTGACTGACTGACTGAGACAAGACTTGTCAGCCACGACTTTGGGTGGATGACACACGAGGTGATGTTGAAGGTCCTGACCAGGGTGTGTATAGCGTAGGACGGCTTCGAAAGGAAGAAAGCACACCGGACACAATGTGTGTGAGCGCATCCATCTCACCACCAGCGGCATGACGATCTCGCATGTGTGGTGCCACAGGACGAGACGAGTGCTCTTGGCGCCATTCCTGAGTGTATGTGAATGGCTACGTCTCATGAATGACTGTAAGGTATTGCTATAATCGGGGCACTCTGAATCTTCCGTACCCCGAGTGTTTCAAGTATCAAGTAGATAGCTAATTGTACCTATCTAAATAGCCAACACGGAGGCAAAAAAGGCAAGGGACAAAACGAAGAAAGAATACAAGCGTGCTCAGTGGAAATCCACACCGGGATCATCAATCGAGGTGTTGGCCCAGTCACCGTCTCTAACTAATTCTAACTACTTACCTTGGTCTAGTAAGCGTGGCATTTTGAACTACCGGACATTTGAAGGTAATACTGCCACATGCAGCTGCATCTACCAGACCAGCAACGCCCCACCCCTTCACTCTGTACATCAATTGTATGTGTATGTACTCCGTACATGTTGCAGTGTGATACTTGCCTGGTGCGCGGGCAGTCGGGCAACTTAAAAGCACTCGCTCAAACTTCAGTCCGTCAGGCAAGTACTAACATAACAGCACCGACGTTAGAGGACTCGTTTGTGTTGGTTGTTGCAGAAGCGGATGGCGGTGGGTCGGGCCAGGCCTAACCCAGCACCCCGATCCAGCACCAGACCACCAGTTGACCATTTGATTCTAATTTGGGGACAGTGTGATCAATTTATTCAATGCTGGCTGGTGTTGTTCCATGGCCTACCCCAGCGCCACCTGCCTAAAGTACCTAAGTACCTCGGCGACCGGCTCACAGGCGGTTTTGGCCTCTGCCTGCAGCGTAAGTACATTGTACCAGACAACAGACACCCGACAACAGACACCAGACATCAGACATTACAGAGTTGAAGAGCCCTTCTTCCGCGCGTGGCAGACAATACACGATACAAGGAGCTACTGCTCCGGGCCTGCATCGTCTTCGGCTCACCTGGCACATGACGCCTACAGAGCACAAGTTAGCCAACTCGAGTGATGGCTCAATTGTTCCGAGCACATCAGAATTGCAGCCAGAATCAGACCAACAGACCAGACCCGCCAGACCTCTTGGCCGTGCAGCTTGCGTGCGTGCGGCGTGCAGCCAGCGGCGTGCGGGACTAGGATGACTGGGGCGGGCCAAGAGAGCAGGGATAAGACGGAACACTGAACATTGAACCAGGGCGCACAGGGCACATTGATGTCAGCAAGCGCCGAGCCAACGAGAACGACGCACAACAAAGGAAATGAGCAGCGAGAAACATTTTTGAACCACCAATAGTTAATACGTATTGCATGTTCAACTCTACGACATCCAAGCATGGCAAACACGGGGGTGAAGTGAGGAAGCGCATACATGCATATATGCATACCATACCAACCAGCCATTCATTCACTCGGCACAGCCAGCTGAATCTGCAACAGCAGATGGAGCTCGCGGTTTCGAACTGGTCTGGTGGTACTTTCACCGCGGAGTAGACAACTGGTTATTCTGTGCTTGGGATCCTGTGGCGGTTAGTAGAAATCCATTAAGCGCTACTGTACGCAACTTGACTCGTGCCTTTTGCTAACATGCCTCGTCTTAATTCGTGTCATTCTCAGAAAAATTGGTATAGTACTCGGTACAAGACATGCTTCGAGCATCCGTGCTCCCTTCTTTCGATAAGCTTGGGTGCGTCTGGTTGCCAGCCTACCTACTTGAGCCTGATGCCAGCTGCAGCCAAGGAATCCGATTTTCTCGCCCCCATTTGTACAATATATTGTACCAGACACTACTACTCCGTAGGCTCGCCGCAAAGCCCGCAGCCTGTGCAAAACGTAGTACGGAGTACTACTGCCGACTAGCAGCGGGACTTGAGCCACCCCCAACATGACATTGAAACCTTGAATCGACGGCGCCACCAGACACCGAACAACAAATTCATGTCACCGGAGGCTCAGCGGGGAGGCGTTTTGCATGCTAAAATTTTGGCAGCCACGCCCCCCCTGGGGTTGTTCTCTTCAACCTTCAATGTCCAAGACATGGATGCTTGTTCAATGCCTTGTGGCCCTCTGCCCTGGTAGGCAAAGGATTGACTGAAGGATCCTCGAGGGCCGCCTCAATTAGATTCAGATGTTCGGATGTCCACACACCCAGGCTGCAGCGATACATGTGCGATCAATTATTATATTGGCTACCCTGTCCGATTGACGGGCTCACGAACATGGAGCAAAGGCCCCAGGCCCCAGCCCCCAGGCCGCCGCTACATGTATGTCTGTTGCCTATTACTATTTGACCTAGGTAGTAACTCCGTAGGTAGGTACTTGACATACTACATGACGTCCAGAGGCAACTCAACATT